AACGCACGTGGCGGAATCACGTTGCCCAAAAACAAATCCTCGAAGTCAATGCCCTCTCCTCGTTGTAACTCGCAAGCTGGTAGAAAGTAAGCGAAATTTACACAGAGAGAGAGAGAGGGAGAGAGAGAATTGTAGACCGTAGAGAGAGAGAGAGAAAGGGAGAAGTACACACGCAGAAAGAGAATGAGAAAGATTGGATAATCTTTCCATGGATTTTTGAGATCTAGAGGAAGAAGGAGAAAGAGCTCCAGCTTGTTCGACATATCGATTTCCAATCGAAGATTTTTCACAGTCAAACTTAGCAGCCGAAGAACACGGAGGGGAGGGAGAGAGAGAAGTCAGCCGAAGAAAAAGTCCCGAGCTTTCCAGAGAATATGTTCGAACAGAGAAATCTCCAAAAACCCAATTCAGAAAACGCCACGATTCTCCAATCCCCTGTGGGTTTCCGGGAAAGTTTCCAACTTGGTCCTTCGAATTGAGCTCCAGAACCCGAACAGGCAACTGGGTTTTGGGTTTCGGATTTCGGGTCGGGTTTTATCATCCGTGATCAGAGGAAGAGTGAGAGGGGTTTGGGGCAGTAGTGTGATGAGAAATGGGAGAAAATGCAGGAGCTTTGCACACAGCTGTGAACTCCGTACAGGCATTAGGAAGAGGCTTCGACGTGAACTTCGATACAAGGTTGCTCTACTGTAAGGGAGCGGCGGGTACGAGGATTCTGGAGCTTGACGAGGAGCACACCAGGGATCTCCGCCTCTATGATGATATTGTTGTGCCGGGTGTTTCCAGGGACATCAGGCATTCGCAGGAGGCTGGCGGCCGGCAGAGCTCTGGAGTCTGCAGTTTTGATGAGGTAATGCTTATGATTTCGTTGTCTCGAATTGTTGTTTGATTGTGCACTTAGGTTGTTGTGTTTGCTTTGAGAGTTTTGGTGGATGTTGCAAGAGTTGGTGAATTGGGTTTAGGTTGCAATTTTGCAAACATTTTACTATGATGTGATTGTAGGGAAAGTGGATAAGTGTTTAAGTTATGAGATTGATGTTCATTGAGAAATATGTTGCAAATTTGCGTAAGAAATGATGGGTAGTTGCAGAAGATTAAAAGGAACTTCATAGGTGGTTTTATTTTTAAATTATGGATCGGATTAATGTGAAGGCATGGAAAATGTTCAGCTCCTTACGGCTCCGACTCCATGTTTTGTGTTCTGCCACGGTTAATGTGCGATAACAATGCTAATAAAATTATTTCCCCAATAGGTACTAATGCACTAGCTGCATTGTGTTAATCCTTTTTAATAATGTACTGGACTAGAAAATAAACGGGCAATTGAACGCCTGTAGGTACTTGTTTGAGCGAGTTTAGTAACCAAACTAGGGTCAAATTTAGTTTTTAATTATGTGCACTCAAGAACATTTATATATCTGTTGCATTTTTTAAGAGGCTGTCGCTACCTTTTAACTATGTGTGTGTGCGCGCGCGTGCGTGATAGAGAGGCATAAAGTTATTTAACATGATCCTTATGGCAAATGGTTGCAGATGGTTGAGTATTTCAATCAAAAGTCTAACGCATCTGGCGGCTTTCCTCTTGGGAGTTTCAACTTCGCATTTAGCTTCACTGGTTCAAAGCATATTGATGCTGCAGCCACGAAGACCCTTTCTGTGGATGGATTTTATATTCCACTTGCTAAGGTCAAGCTTTTTAAATCACCAATAGTGTTGCAAGAAAATGTGAAACAGGCTGTCCCGAGGAGTTGGGATCCAGCATCTTTGGCTAGGTATGAATATGTATAGCCTTAGTAGAAACTTGTGATGAAATAGTTTCAAATGTTCCTTATTTAAGATTGGTTACTTTTTCTTGACAGCTTCATTGAAAATTTTGGAACTCATGTCATAACATCGGTAACAATTGGTGGAAAAGATGTAATTTATGTTAAACAACACCAATCATCTACTTTGTCAACCACGGAGATCAAAAGCTATGTCCAGGATTTTGCAACTCAGAGGTTCTCAGACACAAAAAGCAATAGAAGTTCATGTCAAATGAAATCCAATGATAAGGCTAGTTCCGCTTTGTTTCTTTTCCTTTTTATTATTTTGTAGCCTCTGTCTTTACTTGAAATTTAGGTTTTGACTGAGTATCATTATATATATTTCAGGGCGGTGATCCTGGTTTATTCAACAGTCAAGGGATATATCCTCAACCCACTACGGCACCATATCTTGCTGGGAAAGAAGTATGTAACGTATTGATAATTTGTATCCAATATCTCTGTTGCGCTTGATGGTTTATTATAAGAAATAAGTTTAAAAAAGTATAAAAAAGTATAAAGTTGCTTCTTTCTCTGAACCTCCATTTTCCTTGAATGTAATCTTATTTACCATTTCTTAAATACATAAGAAGTATAGAGTAAGCTCTCACCAGCCCTTGATTTTGGCATACCTTTGAACATTTACTTGCATTTTTACCTGAGTTCTATTACTTCTTCGATATGTTATTTCTCATTACCGTCAATTATTGTTGATGCAGGATGTCACGGTCATTTTTAGAAGAAGAGGAGGAGACGATCTGGAACAAAACCACACCCGATGGGCAAGAACTGTCCGGTCCTCTCCAGACGTAATCGAGATGACATTTTTTCCCATAACAGCCCTACTTGAAGAGATACCTGGAAAAGAGCACCTTACTCGAGCTATTGGTCTTTACCTTGAATGTATAACAACTGAACTCATCATAGATGGGTTAGAGTTTTCTTTTTCCTGTAATGTACTCTATCATTAGCAGTAAGGTAAGCCTACTAAACGGTTTTGAAATCCTTCTTGCAGATAAGCCTCCAATTGAAGAGCTGAGATATTTCCTAGAGTTTCAAATTTCCCGAATATGGGCTCCTATGCCCGACAGAAATATTGGACACCAAAGAAAGGAACCTGTTTGCCCATCCTTGCAATTCAGCATAATGGGGCAAAAGCTTTATGTCAGCCAAGAACAGGTAGCAATGAATCTCTCTTCGCTGAGCTCTTCCATCCTTTGGGAGGCTTGTACTCGTCTTTGGACAGAATGAGACAAAAATTTGCTCAATTTTCTCGTTGGGTGGGGCCTGAATTGCATGAGATCTAACGGAAGACCTTATTAAGTGCATCCTGCTTCCTTAGCGTTGGAGTGGGTTCCAATGGCTAAGTGGTAAAACTAAAACATTAAGCAGTCTAATTGACATGACAAAAACATTAATGCTTATCGTTTAACTCCTCAATTCATCATGTACAGCGCACTGGTGGGACATCATGTCCTTGAGATGTCTAATAGCCATTTTTTTATTTTTTGTGATCTCTCATTCTGAGTTCGATTCATGGTTTAATCCTCCTAGGCTGTTTATGTAATCTCCATTAACAAGGTTTTGTGATCTGCAGGTTACTGTTGGACGGAAGCCAGTGACAGGCATACGGTTATGTCTAGAAGGAAGCAAGCATAATCGACTTTGTATTCATCTTCAGCACTTAGCATCTCTACCAAATATCCTTCGGCCATATTGGGGCAGCGATGTCGCAATTGGTGCACCCAAGTGGCAAGGACCTGAAGAGCAAGACAGCCGATGGTTCGAACCATTAAAATGGAAAAACTTCTCTCATGTGAGCACTGCACCAATTGAGAACCCTGAAGCCTTCACAGGGGACCACTCTGGTGTCTACATGGTCACTGGAGCACAGCTCGGAGTGTGGGATTTTGGATCGAGAAATGTCTTGTACATGAAGCTATTATATTCCAGGCTGCCAGGCTGCACCATCCGGAGATCCGTGTGGGATTATACACCAAATGAAAAGTCGAAGAAAGCAACATCCACTGGCGACTCAAGTTCAGGTTTAAGAGAACATGTCGCTGGCAACAAGTTGGCGAAGTTTGTAGACATGTCTGAGATGAGCAAGGGGCCGCGAGACCATCCTGGTCACTGGTTGGTTACGGGTGGAAAGCTTGGCGTGGAGAGAGGGAAAATTGTTTTAAGAATGAAATATTCGTTACTAAGTTATTGAGTCGTTTATACATTTTGCAAGATTGATGTGCACAGTGGTGGTTTTTTGTTAGATGAGAGGCGGTGTCTTTTGATGGACAGAGAGAGAGAGTGGGACGAAGATTTGTGTCTTTTGGGTGGTCTTAGAGTGAATGGATGCTGCCTCTTGATGTGTTTATAAGTAAAAGGTTTGATATGTTAAGTTAATTTGATGAAAGAAACCTTGTTGTAGAGCAATTATATACCTCATTTTCTAGGATCAAATTCAATTTAATTGTTCCTCTGGGAGGAGAGTTGTTCTCTTTCATATATTTAGCAAAGCTTAACAAAAATAAAGGAAAGCATACGCAAATGAATCTGGTTACCAAGGTTTTACTAAAATTGAAACTTGAGGAAATTTGAAATGTCAATAAAGGAGCACTAAGTTCTGGTTCATATACAGTTTATTGTTAGTTTTGTATTCCTCTTGTTTATGTTAAACGTTTGTAATCGGTTCTATTTGTGTTTACTTTCTAAATATGTAGTTCAGCGTCGGGTTTCCTCCAATTTTGTTGTTCACTAATAGTTTATAACCGATTTTATTTGTATTTTCTGTTGTGTGTATTTACCAAAAAATAATAATAAATGAGACAAAACATAAACTTGGTGGTATACTTAGCTCGATGTACAAAAATTGCATTTACATCATTGATGTGACATTATAATCTTATTTTACAAAAATCAAAGATACAAACTGCAAGGCAGTTTTATGGATATATAACGGCTCATTTTGGTAGTGTTTAAAATAACTGAAAGTATTTTTGGTGAAATTGATTTTATGTTTCAGAAGTATCAGACATGTGATTCTTGCAGAAAGCACTTAAAATGTTTTTTCAGGATCTACTTGTATTTTTACTAAAAATTCATTTCAAAAACATTTTCATCAAAAACACTTTAGTTATTTTAGAAGTGTTTTCAAATGATCCATAAGTCTATAAACAATTCGCTGCTTCCACAAATGATCTAAAACTGGCCACCTTCAATGGTCTGTCCAAACTGCCGGCGGGCACTACATTGTAGCTGGTGACTCTGCCTGCGTCCGTCACTAGTGGTGACTCTGAAGGAGAGCCTCTGGCGTTTGAGGTAGGAGTTGCTCCGCCAGTTTCCACCCCTGTTTCTTGACATGGGCAGCCACCCTGTTCTAGAACCCTTGGTAGACATTGTACGGACATCCCCTGCACCCCCAACATTTGTGATCAACACCAAGTTGAAGTATGAGTGGCCATTTATGGTGAACCTTATGCCTTCGTCACACATGGAACACTAAACAAGAAATTACAACCAAGTAAATAATCAATAGAACTGTTTTATATTATATTGTCAGACAGTTAATCTAACCGTTGATTTAACGATTTTATTTTGTTTATTTGTGCTTTCATGTTCACAACTTAACAATATAACATGTGTGGAGCCAAAAATATTCACAGGGCGACACGTGGATTTTTGGACAAAAATGACAAAAATACCCTTGCAGTACAACGAGGTTCCTACGCGCAAGCAGCGGGCAACCCTCTTTCAACCAAGACAGAAGTGCCCAAAATAGGTAACAATTCAAAGTCCATCTCATCAAATCCTTTCTACAAGGTAATTCCCAAACACATTCCTTTTAAATTATGTTAATTGGCTAATTAATGGGTTTATACCTAATTAACCCATTAATTGTCAATTAAACCATCCATTATATCCAAATAACTACAAAATACATCCAATTCAACCCTAAAACACCACATGGCCGGCTATCCCCATTTCAAAACCTAATCCATCACTTTTTTCTACCTTTTTCACCATTTCTTCCTTTTTATTACCCAATAAATTCAAAAACCACCAAAACATTCATCTTATGTTTAATAGCCAAATAAATTGGCTAATTAAACCTAAATTAAACCTAAAAACCCTAGCCACCTCCTATCCCTATAAATATACTCCCATTCTCACCAAAAAGCTAATTCCAACACTTTGGCAAAAATCCCAAAATTCTCTAAACACTCTTTCTCTCTAAATTATAACTTTGGCATCGGAGGTTCTTCGGCCAAAGCCCCCCCCATTCATCGTGGGCGCGTGAGGCTCTTGGCCTTAACCTAAGGTGTTAATTGTTTTGTAGGTGCAAAATCGTCCAAGATCGAGGAGGAAGAAATTTGCATCCACAACATGCATGTATTTAGCAAATTGGTACTATTTTTTTAGGGATATTTTGAATGCGGTCCCTAATCCTTAACATTCTTTGATTTAAACCTTAATAGTATTCAAAGTTTGATCAATGTCCCTTGACTTTGTACACCTTATTATATTACTATTAATATTTATATTTTTATAGTTTTGACATTAATTGTTTGATATTTTATGAGATTTATAATCCTATAAATTTTAAATCCCTCATTATAATACTATTAGAAACGGTTACAATAAAAAAAATTCAAATATTTTGATTGAATAAATGGATAAAAACTATGTAAAAATAAGAAATAATAAATGGCAAAAGAATGTATCCATAGTGTTAAAAAAATGAATACATTTCACATATAACAAAGTGATACATTAATAAAGAAGAATGGGTACATTAGAAATAAATTAGGGTACATATAAAAGATTAAAAATTATGAATACAAATGAAGTTTTAAAAATATAGGTGCTAAAAGAAATTAATACATGGGTACAAAATAAAACTAAAAAGAAAATACTACAAATTAAAAAAAAATGTTGCAAATTAAAAGTGGGTACAAACTAAAAATATAAATATATGATACAAAGTTTAGGCATAAAACATAAATATACCATATGTAATTTTTTTATCATTGATTAAATATACAATGTCACGTGATGGTATACACATGGGTACAAACACAAATAAAACTTTAAAAAATGAAAAGAAAATTGGTACAAATTAAAAAATATTTGTAAATTAAAAATAGGTACAAACTAAAAATAAAAATATATGATAAAAAATTTAGGCATAAATATAAATATACTAATTATAACATTTTTAACATTAAAGGAATATATTTAAAAATAAAAATATTTTATTATTCAAATAATTAATGATGTTATTAATACCCAAGAACCTTGATCAAAAATTGAAAATAAATAGGATTTTAATCAATGGAGTAATAAAAAAAAAAAGATTTTATGTTAGAAACGTTACCTTCTAAAGAGTACGGCCACAATTCCGCCACGATATTTAGCGATATGCAAGAAAGCAGTCTTGGGCAAATCGAAGTGTTGAAGAGGAGGGCTGTGGCATGCCCGTGGTAATTTGCTCTGCTTTAGTTGTTTTGTTTTGTTTTTGTATTTTTGGTTTTTCTTAAGGATTGCATATGAAATGCACAAGTACATTATTTCATTTGTACAACAAAAGTAAGTTAAATTCGGTAAGTTTCGTAGAAAGATAATGTTAGGAAGATTAAATTTTTCAAATCAAATGATGTGGTGGTTAATGATTGGATAATTACTTAAACATTGATTAATGTGCTTAAGCGTTGATTAATGGTGACACATCATTTGGTTTGCAAATTTGATTTAAAATTTTGGTCTCTCTAACATTACTCTTCATAGAATTATAGGAAACTGAACTCATCATGTGTGATTGCGAAAGTACATGTATTTTTCACACTTTTGCTTTCCTTCCTTCCCCTCATCTCACACTTTTTATTTTTTCTCTCTCTGTAAATAATTAAAATAAGATGTTGATGTGAGTTAACCATGACTGTTCAAATAAGTGAGCCAAAAAACTAGAACCACCCACTATCGCTGGCCCTAGCCTTTGGCTATGGGGTCGGTGGCAGCCCCCTTTTTTCTTTGTTTTTTCTTCTTTTCTTCCCTGTTTCTTTTGCTATGTTTCCCACTGAGCTTTTGTCTCAGTTTTACCTTCTCTAATCGTCTGCCTCTTTTCCCTTCCCCATCGCACTCTTCTTTCCTCCCCATCTTTTCCAACCCATAATTAGGAGTTAGATCTTGGAGTTTTGAACTCCATCTTGACTCAAGACCCTTCATCCACAGCCCACTGCCGAACCGGCTTAACAGAAAAATTGGGTGAAATGTGGAACAATTCATGTCTGAACAAGTGTGTCCTGCACACCCCCTTTGCCCTCCCCGTTCTCCTATTACATTTGGTGACTTTTTATGCAGGTGTGGCTGTGGATATTGTGTTTCTTGGTGGATTGATGGATCTCAACACTCTCAGAGCTAGCTTTTGGTTTGGGTGCTTTTTTCTATTTCGGGAGTGAATTCCCTTCACGGAGGGCGCAACGGCAGTGGTGAAGGAGAACGGGGAGGGCAAAGGGGGTGAAGGGAGAACGGGAGTGAATTCCCTTCACAGAGGAAGTAATGTATATTATGGCTATTAGGTGGTGCGGTATAATCGTCCACCTTGCTCTACATATTTAAATTTTCTTGTTGTTTAAAGTAGTGCGGAATAATCGCCCATCCTATACTTGTTTCGATGAGAATGGTGCGGTACAATTGCCCTTCTCATTAATCATGTAAATCTCGAGCCTGAAGTTTCGAGTACTTAACATTTTGGCCTGAAGATCAAAAATTTGTAGGAACTAGAAGTTCTAACAATATATTCCTACAGAACACATATTATTGCAAGTTCTTACCCACCTCATTTTTTTCCAGAAAAGAAAATGGTAAACTTGGCAAAGCTTGATTTTGCTGCCCTGGACATTAATGGGAAGAATTACCTTACCTGGGTACTGGATACCAAGATCCATCTGGAAGTAATGAATCTTGGTGATACCATCAGGGAAGAGAGCAGCTCATCCTTTCAAGATCAGGTGAAGGCCATGATTTTTATTCGTCGCCATCTTGAATTGGCACTAAAAAGCGAGTACTTAACGGTTGAAGATCTGTTAGCCCTCTAGAAGGCTTTGAGAAACAGATACAATCACCAGACAACAGTGATTCTTCCAAGAGCTCGCTATGACTGGACTCACCTAAGGATCCAGGATTTCAATTCAGTGGCTAAGTACAATTCGGCGTTGTTCAGAATTACCTCTCAGATGAAGCTCTGTGGGGATACTATTACTGAGGAGATGTTATTGGAATAGACTTTCAGCACATTTAATGCCTCTAACATGCTCTTGCAGTAGTAGTATAGAGCGCGAGGCTTCACTGAATATAACCAGCTGATATATGTGCTCCTGGTAGCTAAACAGAACAATGAGCTACTGATGAAACCATAATTCCCGACCTACTGGATCAGCACCGTTCCCAGAAGTGAATGCTGCTTCCCTTGAAAGGAATACCATATCCTCCTGTGGCAATAATTACAAATGAGGACGTGGCCACAAGCGAGGCCGGTGGAACGGGAAAGGCAAGAACCATGGTGTCCAATTTCACAACTAGGTTCCAAGGCATAATCCAGGTCCGAGCTTTAAAAATGCAAATCCCCAGAAAGGAAAAGCTCATATGAACACTCCTAGAAATCCTGAAGGAGTTTGCCATATGTGTGGTGGCAACGGACATTGGGCGCGTACTTGTCGCACCCCAAAGCATCTGGTGGAACTGTATCAAGCCTCCTTCAAGGAGAAGGGTGTTGAGATCAATTTCTTCGACCAAACTCAACCAATAGAAACCCCTGATCCAGTGACCAATTTATAAGGACAGTTAAACACAACCCACCTGGATGCTACATACTTTATTAATGAAAGAGGGAATGAAGTTTATGGGTCCGATTAAATTATTTATGTTTAATATACTCTTGTTATTTGTACTTGTGGTTTAATGCTTGCATTTTTAATTCAATAAAAGTAGTATTCCAGTATGAATAAACTGCTTTTTCTTTACTCAGAGAACATGGATAAAAATTATGGTTATTCTCAAAACAAGAGTAATGGCGGAGACTTTTGTCTTGTAGACAACGCAACCTCGCATTCAATACTTCGAGATCGAAAGTATTTCTCGAATTTGGTACTTGCAAAAGTAAAGGTAACAACAATATCAGGGCAATCAGATGTAATTGAAGGCTCAGGAAAAGCCCAGATTATGTTACCAAATAGAACAATATTGTCCATAAAGAATGCGTTATATGCTACTCGATCCATTCAAAATTTGTTGAGTTTTAAAGACATACGTCTAAATGGATACCACATTGAAACGAAAAGTGTAGAAAATGTGGAATATTTATGCATTACCTCCAATGATACCCAGAAGCGTATATTGGAGAAGTTGCATGGTTTATCGAGTGGATTGTATTATACATACATAAAGACAGTTGAGGCATATACTGTCATGAACCAGAAGTTCATTGATTCAAAGGTTTACATGCTTTGGCATGATCGTCTAGGTCATCCAGGATCTACCATGATGCGTATAATCATTACCAATGGAAGTTGGTAATTAGACCATCATAACTAAAGGTTGATGATGAATCCCCATCATTTTTGCAAAGAATTCAAGGAGATATTTGTGGACCTATTCAACCACCTTGTGGACCATTTCGATATTTTATGGTTTTGGTTGATGCATCTACCCGATGGTCATATGTTTGCCTATTGTCTACTTGAAATGTAGCTTTTGCGAGACTTCTTGCTCAGATAATTAAGTTGCAAGCACAATTCCCAGATCATCCCATTAAGTCAATTCGACTTGATAACGCGGGTGAATTTATGTCTCAAACCTTTGATGATTACTGCATGGCACTGGGCATTGATGTTAACATCCTATTCCTCATGTCCATACCCAAAATGTTTTAGCAGAGGAATTTATCAAGCGGCTTCAATTAATAGCCCACACTCTGCTCATGAAAATGAAATTGCCAGTCTCTGCATAGGGACATGCCATCTTACATGCAGCATCATTGGTTCGACCGAGACCTATAGCCAACCACCAATACTCATCAATACAACTCGTGTTTGGACATCAGCCAAATATTTCACATTTACGAGTTTTTGGTTGTGCTGTTTATGTGCCTATTGCACCGCCACAACGAACTAAAATGGGACTTCAGCGCATACTGAGAATTTATGTGGGTTTTGATTCACCATCTATCATTAGATATTTGAAACCTTTGACTGGTGAAATGTTTACAACTCGTTTTTCTGATTGTCATTTTGATGAGACAGTTTTCCCGTTATTAGGGGGAGAAAAGGCTGTTCCAAAAGAACAGCAAAAGCTGACATGGGTTGTTCCCACCTTATCTCATTTTGATCCACGAAACATTCAATGTGAAAATGAAGTGAAAATGATCGTTCATCTTCAAGGTATTGCTAATCAAATGCCAGATGCATTTAATGATGCTTTGAAAGTGACAAAGTCACATATACCAGCTGCAAACGCACCTGCAAGAATTGATGTCCCTGTTGGACAAAATAAAGTGGTAGCGAATGATTAATCCAATGCACGCCTGAAGCGTGGTAGACACTCAGGTTCAAAAGATTCAGCCCCTCGAAAGAGAAAGATGAGGGCACAGTTGAACCCAAATGAAATCATTCAAGAAAAGAAATTGAATAATAAATCCACAATTCATGATTCTATACTTCTAGAAAAAGAAAATGTCCTTGATGGGACACCTGTCCCTGAAGAGACAGAAGTACATGAAAGTAAAGAAATATCCATAAATTATGCATGTACTAATGAATTGTGGGATCGAAATGAAATAATCATCGACGACATGTTTGCATTTGTAATAGCCACTGAAATTATATTAAGTAATGATATTGAGCCCCGCTCTATTGATGAATGCAGACAGAGACAAGATTGACCTCAGTGGAAAGATGCAATCCAGGTAGAATTAAATTCCTTAGAAAGAAGAAGTGTTTTTGGACCAGTAGTCCAAACCCTGCCTGGTGTGAACCCCGTAGGTTACAAATGGGTATTCACAAGGAAACGCAACGAGAAAAACTAGATTGCAAGATATAAAGCACAATTCGTTGCACAAGGTTTTTCACAAAGACTTGGAATTGATTATGAAGAGACATACGCTCCTGTAATGGACGCAATTACGTTTCGTTACTTAATAAGTTTTGTGATTTCAGAAAAACTTGACATGCGACTTATGGATGTCATCACCGCGTATCTATATGGAGAATTAGATATTGACATATATATGAAAGTCCCAGAAGGACTTAAGTTGCCTGAAGCAACTAACAAACCACGAGGTATGTTCTCAATCAAATTAAGGCGATCACTATATGGGCTGAAACAATGTGGGCAAATGTGGTATAAACGTCTCAGTGAGTATTTGATTAAAGAAGGATATGCCAACAATGTCATCTGCCCTTGTGTGTTCATTAAGAAATTAAATACTAGATTTGCTATAGTGGCAGTATACGTCGATGATATGAACCTAGTTAGAACCCCTGAAGAGCTCAACAAAACTGCTGAATATCTGAAAAGCAAATTTGAAATGAAAGACCTTGGGAAAACAAAATATTGTCTCGGCCTGCAGATCGAGCATTGTGTTAATGGAATTTTGGTCCATCAATCAGCTTACATTGAAAAAATACTGAAGTGATTTGGCATGGACAAAGCTTATCCATTTAGCACCCCAATGGTCGTTCGTTATTTGGACATTAAGAAAGATCCATTCCGTCCAAAAGAAGATGATGAACCGGTCCTTGGTCCAGAAGTACCATATTTGAGCGTAATAGGTGCTTTATTATATTTAGCACAATGTACTAGACCAAATATAGCTTTTTCAGTTAACTTGTTAGCCAAGTACAACTCTACTCCAACAATTCGTCATTGGAAGGGAGTCAAAGATGTTCTACGATACCTTCATGGGACAACATATATGGGCCTCTTTTACTCAGACAAGCCCAAAAATGAACAGATCCTTGTTAGATACGCATATGCTGGTTTTCTCTTCTATCCGCATAAAGCCCGCTCACAAAATGGATATGTGTTCACTAATGGAGATACTGCAATTTCATGGCGATTAACAAAGCAAACGCTAGTTGCTACATCTTCCAATCACTCGG